GAATCAAACGACTCAACCATAAACCATAAACGAAGTGGACAAGAATATATCTTGCGAAGACTGTGGAACGTAGCAAGGTTCCCTTGTAACAGTTCAGCCAACCAAACAGCTGTGACGAGCTATAAAAACGTAGGTTAGTAGGTCATCAGTGTGTATACTTGTTGTCGTTTGTGTGTACCGGCGTGTATACGGGGTATATGGGATATGTATATATGTATATGGGATATATATGTGTGTAGCGTCTATGCTCCGTGGCTATGTGTCGATATGCCTTTTGCTGCCGACATAAACATTGGTATTTGCGTTGCATCTATTTCCCCTGGTGCACTTTTTCGCGATCAGATATCGAGGATGACTCGAGATTTAAGCAGATGTGAACATATATGTACGCGTGAAGATACCACTATATACTTTTACATCGTTATATTATAAAATATTTTGCGCGCGCGAATCAATACCTACGTGATAAAAAATCATAAATTTTTCTCGATTTTAACGTGTCTTGCTGCGGATGACTTTTCGACATATGATTCCATGAACACGCGATATTTTTTATTATTACGGAATTGTCATTCGTATAGCAATCTAAAAACGAAACTTCAACGGTCCGTTTTTTATTGGCATGGATATTTTTATCCATGGCAGAACGCGCGCGAGAAGCAAAAAATAAACAAACCGAAACACATGATACTGTGGATGCAATCGGAAGCAAGTGGCGCGACTGGTAAGTTGATTCGATCAATGATGTGGCATTGGTTCCATGATGGGCACGCTCGACACGTGATGATCGATCCAATTAAACGCCGGAGTTAGAACTCTCTTTTTAAAGCGATATCGAGACACAATTTTGGCATTACGGTCGATCGTGCCATTGCGATGCGAAAGGATTGTGTCGCGCGGGAAACGGATGTTCTCGTTGTCGCGTTTCAATACGAGGGACATGTAGGTGGGATAGGAGGGATCGTTTGCGAAAGACCAGACAAAATAAATGAACGGACGAACAACTGTCGATGTCAAGAGTTTTGTATGAGTTTGAATGCAAACTGTACCATCAACACCTCGGACACGGAGCTGATGCTGAGGACATACATGGTGACGCCGACCTCCACGGGCGGACCTGCAATCAACAAAACCATCCGGCCTTGGTCGCTGTGATTACCCGTCAATCTCTAATTAACCATGTACGACCTATCGTGTATATGTACGAGGTAAAAATAGATTATATATCTATAATAAGTGATAATTAATAGCAGTAAAATGCATTGAATCTCTCTTTACCTCTAGACTCACGTGCGCGTTGAAACTTAAACATCCTTTAAAATACTCTCCAAACGATCGTATATTGCATGTCGCGCGCGCGACGACGCGTCTATCAGAAGAATCGAGACCCATCGCAGAAGCGTAAGCTCCGTACGCGTAAGCGAACATCGGCGATTTTTTTTCTCGAGTCTTCGGATAAATCGGGAAATGGGTTGTGATTCTCCCAACAGGGAGAGGGTTTTTTTTCCGGGAATGTCGCGCGCGCCTATGTTTTGTGAGCCAGAGGCAAGGCATAAACGGACAAAGTCGAGGAGAGCTCGCACCCTGCACGGAACCAAATCAACAGGACTCGTCGTCTCAGGCCACGTTGCCTTCCAAGCTGGAAGAATCATTCATACTTGTCTCGTTACATTAGGCACATTATGCTCTTACGTAATATTACATACACATCACAGCCACGTAGCAGTATGAAATTACCTTTACTATTATATTGTCTTTCGTTTTATATCACATCGCATTTTATTGTAGTTTGCTTTGTGCTTTCTCTCTTTTTCTCACTCCCGTTCTCTTTCGTTCTTTGTGCGTCTTGTTTTTGCCGATCGTCATGTCGTATTCCAATTTGGCTTGTTGTGGCTATACGTGTACGTATATCTCAGGGAAATCTGGCTCGCTTTACAGTACTTTTTCTCACCCTATATTAAACGCCTTTCCATTGTCGAAAATAACGCGTCGTCTTGTCGAACGTTCGTCGAACGACATCGTTACTTTACATTGAATTGCTGTCATTGTCATTGCGATTGTCGATTCCGGGCGAAATTTATTCATTTACTTTTAGCTTCTGGGGTTGTGAGGGGGTTGCCTTGAATACTGAAAGAACTGCTGGAAGGAACTCGGACGGATATCACGATCGAGGCAGTTCGATCGAATTGTTCATTCTCGCGTGTTCATTCACGAACGTGTGATACGTGCGGTGTTTAGACAGAGAAATGGCGGAAGTGTCGGGCAAAGAGGGTAGAGGGGGGGGGGGCGGATTTTATTTTTTGGCTGGCGGGATATAGAGTAATAATAATCGTAAATGGTTTGCAGGCGGCAGCCCATCTCAGCAACCGCGGCATAGCAGCTAGAACGTCTAAGAAACGGTCTAACGGGACGGTCGTGCGTGTTTAATATATTGAACAAAATACTATTTTTTCCCTGAGAGCAGAAAGCAATAAAAAGACGCTCCTCATTCACGTTCTCTCTAACACTACGTGACGCTCGGGGCAGCCCAGGCTCAAAAGTCAGGCAGGAGATTAGTAAACTAAGTTTTCCACGCTCGCAGAAAACGAACGTAGTTCGAAGCAACTGAAATTCGTCTCGGTGTTGATTCATGATTTTCATAGATCTTCACATCAATGTCGAAACTTTTAATAGCGTTCTCGCGTCAATCAATTTTTTTTTGCAGCAAAATCACATCAAATGTCTACATGAGAGACTATTTTTGTCGAAATAAATCTGACTCTCGCACGTTAAACTGCCTCGCAATAATTCAGAATGATTTGGGTTATATTCTTTTTTTTTTTTTTTTAGATTTAGCTCAATTTACGCTGCTACGCGGTCCCGTTTTCAGTTGCTGAAACTACAGCCCCGTTTCCCGAGTGTAGAACGAGGACAGCCAGTATATATTTATTATCTGAAATATGAAATAGTACTTTGTCCATTTTTAGTAGTGTCTTTTTTTCTGTTGCTCGCTACTAAAGTATATATGTGTTGCGTTGTGTGTGTGTGTATGTGTATGGGAGAGTGCGTGTAAGGTCATACACGCGCACACTCATTTCTTCGTCGGTGTAAACTGGTACCGCGATAAGCGGACAGACCACGAGGTACTACAATATATCAAGTGAGTTAGGAGATTCGGCTTGGTTGGCTTCATTTCGGTAGTTTCGAAGTACAAGCGGTAAACCGCATCGCGTAATCGCTGCCGCGCGCGCGAAGTGCGTTTTATGCATGAAATACTAACATAAGTTTGAATTTTGATGCAGTTATATCTGCAGACAATAAAGTATATATATATATATATTTGTAGGATATGCAAGTTAAACTAATCTTGCTATTTTTATAGAGACAAAAAAATTTACATTGTTAAATATTTGCATGAGAAGCAAATTATGTATTACGTGTGAATTTGCGGTAATAATAATGTCTGAAATTCTTTTTTTTTATAAGTAATCAATTGTCCGTCGAGTCTCATTATGCTTTATGCCAGATTAAAACAAATATATTATATAATAAAACGTGATCCAAAGTATATCATCAAATCGTATCGTTTTATCACACGTCTTTCTTAAAAATTATCAGTTTATATTATAACTAATAAGCAAGTGTTTTGACAGAATGTTGTTTCTTCCACAGTGAATTAAAATACACAAAGAAAATCGAATTATAAATGTCGATCAATGGATCTGATCCGATTGAAAACGCGAGAAATGCTTATGTTTTTAAGCATTTATTTCGTTTAAGAGATATATTCGCAGTTTCGGAATCTTGGAGCAGCAACAGATTGATTCTCTTTTGCATAGTTGCGTTTAATAGATCCCGGAATCAATGCGCCAAGAAATTGGACCTTTGCTTCGAAGCGAGTGTTGAATCGTTCCGATAATCACATTATGCAATTGTCGCGGTTCCAAACGTCGTCGCTAAACGAAAAGCACATCAAAGGAGCATATAACCCAGGGCGATGCGGATCTGGGTGCGACAAGCAAACTGATTTCATCGTCAGAGCGCCAATCGACTCGACCAAGGCGGTGATCGAAGCACGCCTCTCGTCCCAATCGACGGCGCCTCGAGGACCAAATTTTTTTTTCTGTTGTACTAAAACTAGACGAGATTATAGCCCGCGGAGCAGCAATTAATCGATCGTTATGTGTACGCGTTCGAAGCGAAATAATCGCGATCCGACGTCGTTAGGTAACGAAGATAATTCACGCTTCACAAAGAACGAGATATTAAACAACGAGACGTTTATTGGAGGACCGACTAAACTGCTGAAAGTATCGCCCCAATTAGTGCGTGATTAACGACACAAGTGAATTATTTCATTGACGGTATGAGAAATTATTCGCGTAGATTGCAAATGTTGATCGTTAATGCAATCGACATTGCAGAGTCGACCGTTAGAATCAATATTTCTTGTTCTCTCGTTATCTTTGTTGATTTTTGAAATAGATTTGAATTACATTGGGCATTGCATTACTAAACTACCTGTTTGTCTAACGAGGCAATAATAGGATGTTTATGTGCCTTAATAATAACAAACACAAATATAGTGTAACACAAATAGAGTGAAAATTATATTGCGTGGTGTATAATCTTCTGAATTTGCACACATAGTTATTCCAATATACATTTGTTGGAGGAATGATCAAAACAATAGAAAGAATGCACACTCGTGTGCGCGTGTATGTACAATAGTATAATTAAATATGCATCCGCACTCGTGTAAGTCTCCCAGATATGTCTGTGCTCGTTATGTATATGTATGTATGTGTCAAGATAAAAAGATGCTGATAATAATTCAGTAACGATCAGCGGCAATCGTTGACTTGAAAAATACACGGGCACTAAAAAGTGTGGTTGCTTGAGCGAAGAGATCGATATGGTGGAAGGGGAGAAGAGGACGGGCGGATTTTGTGTTTAGCCGAGAACGACAGTTAATAAGTAACTTTCAGCGGAAATTACTGAGTAAGACCTAGAGGTAATACCATTTTCACTTCGGATAGGGAGCTGATACTCAAGACGTACATGGTGACGCCCACCTCGACGGGAGGACCTGAAATCGAAGGTTAGTAAGTCTGAGTCGCCGGTTTTTCCGGCCGCGGCCACACAAGCTACACGGTGAGAGTGACTGTATGGCATTCGTTCTTTAATCTCACGAATATCACACACGTGTACACATATTGCTTTCTTTCTTTCTTTCATTCGGTAGCGTTTTGTGAGTTTACTGTGAATGCAAAATGGCATGTTGGTGATGTCGCTACGTTGGATGGATCGCTGAAAGTGGTAATCGCTTTCGATTAGACGAAACGTCCGATAATAATTTATGCGCTAATTTACGTGTGCTCGGTTGTCATTATGATTTCTCAAAAACGGCTTGGCTTGGACTTGTTTTGATACAGGCGCAACGCTGTGTAACGTTGTTTTGTATTACACGATTCGTGTTATACGTTTAATTTAAAAAACGAGATGAATAAGTTAACATCTTTTATAATAAGATTAAATTAAAGTGCTGAATATACAATCGAAAAAATTATTCATATTTTTAGTATCTTTTTTTCTCTTCTTCTTTCTTTTTTAATGTTATATATATAAACCTGTAATATATTATTATTCATCGGGAAGATATTTTTTTCCGCATCGCAGTTATGATCACTTTAATCTTTAACATATAACAGATAAAGTTAAACACACAACTACAATTTTGTACGTGTCTATTTAAAGATTTGTCCATAAACAATCGTTTATGTTACTTTAACATGTAATATATGACATAAGCTATTTCTCTCACAACCTTTGTAAAATCTAAATTCAAAAACCCGACGAGGATTCCAATCGTGAGAATTCCAATGGTCTGTACCAGATGTGAGACACGAATTCGAGCACTCTTGAAATCGATAAATCTGCTGCCGGTCGAATTGATCGGCCGCAAAGACGAAGCGGAAAAATGTAATCGCTGCCAATCAAGCGGTATTTCACCGAGAAAAGTTTATGGACGAAATTTCAGGCAGAGGGTGGAAGAGAGCGAGAAGGCAGGTGCAGATGGAAAGGACCGTTTGTCGGAAGGGAACGCGAAAAAAACGAAGGGTGCAAATTGGGAAGGGGGTTAACGAATACAGGCGAGTATACGTGTCCACGTTGGCATTTTCGCGATAAAGTTGACTCGTAAACAACGGCTCTGCCAACGCCATCGTGTGCCACTCGACCGATATATCTTCATTTCCATTTCTAGGATGTTTTTAAAGCCCTATAGCCGAGGAACATCCCATATGGGACACATATTTCACAATGACGTTCTCGCGTACACGCTGGAAAACGCACGGCCGACGTGGTATCGAGTTAATTGAAACGCGCCAGTATGCTTCGCCCATGCAAACCGATCCCCCATGAGAGAGCTTTGCTCCGAAAAAAAATAAAAGATACACGAGACACATGTGTGATGATGCAACTGAGAAAAAACAAAAATTAATAATCGACTATGGAGTTGAAAAATTGCAGTCATCAGCCATGTATGTGCCGATATTCATAGATTATTTATACCACAGATATTTTTATGTTTATAGATGAAGTGTTTTTTTTTTCCGCGTCACATCGACTTCAATCCACAATATTTTAATTTATAAAGTCTAATATTTTTGGCAATATTTTACGAATACGTAAAAAATATCTACAGAATAATTATATTAAATATTTTTAATACATTTTTATAAAATAAAAACGTACATACGAAAAAATACACGTATATATTATATAGTACACTTTATATATTGCATCAACAAACGCGTTATGAATTATAAATATATTCGTCGATTTAATAAGTTTATTCGTTGCAATTCTATGTGAGTCGAGATACTCTTTTAACACGGACGCGAAAAGTTGTGTTATTTATTATTATGCCAAGCTAGTTTATAAAGTGCAAACATTTCGAGTTTCCTGTCACGTATTTTGTCATTTTACGTAGGCCTTGGACCGCGGCGGTGAAGCTGTTTGAAAATCCGGCCGCGCTCCGAGGAATATCCAATGAAGCGTCACGAGTCGAAGAGAGCAGCTGTTTATCCCGTCCATCCACGGTATTCTCGTGCCCGCTTCCGTAATGTTCGCGTATACATAGCGCGATCTAAATTTTAAATGTTAAAAACCCGTATCCAGCGAATCCCCGTGTATCGGCATGCGAAAGACGCGGATATCGGCGATTCGAATCGAGAGACGATACGTTTAGTGCGCCTTTTTGCAATCTATCGACAGTAACCTATATACGTGATCTCGCGGAAAATGAGACGCTCGCTTTTCAGGTTTGACACAGTCGACCCCGAGTTTACTGCAAAGTAAGTCATTACTAATGCATCTTTCAGACGCAGTTTGAACAATCAAGATAGACTGTATTTTATGTATTCTCGATCAATTTCAGTTTGGCAAGGCTTGGCGTTCCATTGAAAGCTTATCGATACATTTTTTATTACTACAGTCAATGCCAAAACAATTTTCAATTGCAAAGTAATAAATTGAATAATATTTTTATAATATAGAAGCGGTTTTATGCAATATCCAATATGGTTACACATGGAATGTATGTAATTAAATGATAATATGCTGAATGCGTGTTTATTTTATCCTACTGCGAGCTGAGAATTCGTAATTGTAATACATGTAATTTTAATTACACACGGTATACGAATTGAAGTTTTTAATTATCCGGTTAACCACTTTTTCGATTTTTGCATCTGATGTATAATAACAGTTATAACTATGAACAAAAATACATTTCGAATAAATCAATGGATATCGGTAAACATTTTTAGCTTCATCGAAAATAAAGAACTAAAATAATTCTCGGTCAATTAAATCCCAAATCTCCTTTTAGAGAAGAAAATGGAGCTGAGCAATATTTGGAGCCGGTGGTCATTTTCGTTAGCAATCGCGACGCGAAGACACCGAAAGTACGAGTGTAAAAAAGGAATAGAATCTGGAACAAGATGAAAGGAAGAGTGAGGTAGGGTTCGCGAAGACGCAAAGGTCGAAATCAAAGTCAAAATCGTAATTGAAGGCGAAAGATATAGAGTTTCTGTGTCTTGTCGGTGCGGAGATGCCGTTAACGGTAACCCGTGGCAACCCGTGGAGCGTCCCAGCATCGATCCGAGTTTTATCGAAGCGTTCCAGCCCCGCCCTGCCACCACGGAGGCCATCCTCGAAAATGTGTCTTTGTCGTGGGATAGAGAATCGTCGATACATGAAATAATCGTAGCGCTTTTCGACACCGATAATCGTTCCGCCGGTTGAGCCTATCCGAAACATATGCGGTGACTTTTTTGCCGGGCCTAACGATAAGCCGAAAGTGGGACAGAGCGTCCATTTGGCAGGCACTAATTGCTTCTAACTGACCGTCGACTCCGGCGAGCGTGCTCACTCGAAACTGATCTAATGGCTCTTTAATATTCCCGTGTTTTATAAGCATCCCATTTATTCGGCCGCGAAATCGCATCGCGTTTGCAATCGATAACCGTCTGGCATTTATTCAAAGCGATCATCCGCGCAAAGATCTATCCGTACCAATTGCGTGCAAACTGCATCTCCCGCGGATTTTACCAAAAGTAAAATGTAAAAGAATACGCTCTGTTTGTTTTTTATTTTCTCCTTCGGAAACACGTTTCTGATAATGGTACGTGCTCGCCGCATCGCTTTATCGATATTTTTTTTCGATAGTCATGCGTAATCGAGCCGTGCGCGATAAACTGCAAATTACTCCTTTGACCGGTGCGAGAAAAAACACAGATGCGAGAATCGCGTACACGTGCTGCCGCGTTGTTCCTGTCAGAGTTGTTTTATGGAAGCGGTAGTATGCTCGACAGAGGCCGCCGTTTTTGTAGGGTAAACGTGGGAAGTGGTAAGCGACGTCAAAAATATTTCCTGGAGCGTTTCGCGAAGTTTTACTACTGTGTCGCGTCATTGTTACACCGATTCGAAAGCTTGCGCTTTATATCTTGATTTATCGCGTATCGACCTCGCGTGCGCCAATTTTCTTTTATTTTTTGTTTTTTATTTTTTTGATAGATCCTCTTTGCTTGTATATATTTATTCAGTGTACTTCTTCAATTTTTTTCTATTTCAGCACTGCATCAAGGTGGAATATGATGTCAGTTACTTTTTTTTTTTATCCGAGCACACGTAAAAAGCTCTTTCCTGCGCTTGCAGCGAACAAAGTGGAATTAAAAAATTGTTTGCTGGTATTCTGTTCTCTCGCTAATTGATTGAATTTGTCAGTGTGTCAATATTTGGTTTTCTTTCGTCATCTAACTTTTTTAATTTCGTTGGCTGCAAGATAACGTTTTAGATTCATGTAATAGTGCAACGAATATAAAAAAAAATGAGACGGGAAACGCTTTGCGCAAAACTTGCTATGGCATGTATTATTTCACGTAAATTAATTAAAGCTAATCGACGTCAATCAGATAATTACATAAAACTTGTGAAATTGACAAGTTTTGCGCACGATATAAAATCCACACCAGGGTGGTTGAATGATCTTGGTTATTGAAAAATGTGGAAAAATCAAATCCCTACTCACCTCCGTAGTTCGGCCTTACTCTTTTATCGTAACTGACGGAAAAGGAATCTAGTATCGCAGAAATGTTCACGTCGCCCAGCATACTGCCGCCGCCAGTTCTGCAAACAGAAGAAAATTTAAAATCTCACATTTTCCTTATAAAAAAGTAGTATGTTTTAATATTACAATAATTTTTTATAGTATAAGTTTTAAATTTATAGCATTTATTTATATCTAATCTATGTTTTTTCAATTACATTAATTGGAGTATGATTGGAAAAATTTTATCTGCAAAAAATATTATACACAATTTAGTTAAAATACTATGAAATTAAAAAATCTCTGGATAAATACTTTAACACATATTATAACATTGTATATATACAACTTTATTTTTAAAAAACTTTATCTTAAAAATTTTTTTACGGATAATACACACAAATCTTCTTGTTCCTATGATAATTAGAATATAAATTAATTGCAAATAACTGCATTTTATGAAATCGATAGCGTTTAAATAACTTGCTATTGAATTTCGAGGTGTCGTCACGAATCCTTGAACTGATATAAATACAAGATATATATTAGCATTATTCCAAAAATAAGTTCAAGAGAAGATATTGTAACAGCCTGCATGACATACAGGATCGCGAGAAGTAGATACGCTCGAAGATTCGAGACATAAATCAATTTCAGTTTGGCAAGGCTTGGCGTTCCATTGAAAGCTTATCGATACATTTTTTATTACTACAGTCAATGCCAAAACAATTTTCAATTGCAAAGTAATAAATTGAATAATATTTTTATAATATAGAAGCGGTTTTATGCAATATCCAATATGGTTACACATGGAATGTATGTAATTAAATGATAATATGCTGAATGCGTGTTTATTTTATCCTACTGCGAGCTGAGAATTCGTAATTGTAATACATGTAATTTTAATTACACACGGTATACGAATTGAAGTTTTTAATTATCCGGTTAACCACTTTTTCGATTTTTGCATCTGATGTATAATAACAGTTATAACTATGAACAAAAATACATTTCGAATAAATCAATGGATATCGGTAAACATTTTTAGCTTCATCGAAAATAAAGAACTAAAATAATTCTCGGTCAATTAAATCCCAAATCTCCTTTTAGAGAAGAAAATGGAGCTGAGCAATATTTGGAGCCGGTGGTCATTTTCGTTAGCAATCGCGACGCGAAGACACCGAAAGTACGAGTGTAAAAAAGGAATAGAATCTGGAACAAGATGAAAGGAAGAGTGAGGTAGGGTTCGCGAAGACGCAAAGGTCGAAATCAAAGTCAAAATCGTAATTGAAGGCGAAAGATATAGAGTTTCTGTGTCTTGTCGGTGCGGAGATGCCGTTAACGGTAACCCGTGGCAACCCGTGGAGCGTCCCAGCATCGATCCGAGTTTTATCGAAGCGTTCCAGCCCCGCCCTGCCACCACGGAGGCCATCCTCGAAAATGTGTCTTTGTCGTGGGATAGAGAATCGTCGATACATGAATCATAATCGTAGCGCTTTTCGACACCGATAATCGTTCCGCCGGTTGAGCCTATCCGAAACATATGCGGTGACTTTTTTGCCGGGCCTAACGATAAGCCGAAAGTGGGACAGAGCGTCCATTTGGCAGGCACTAATTGCTTCTAACTGACCGTCGACTCCGGCGAGCGTGCTCACTCGAAACTGACCTAATGGCTCTTTAATATTCCCGTGTTTTATAAGCATCCCATTTATTCGGCCGCGAAATCGCATCGCGTTTGCAATCGATAACCGTCTGGCATTTATTCAAAGCGATCATCCGCGCAAAGATCTATCCGTACCAATTGCGTGCAAACTGCATCTCCCGCGGATTTTACCAAAAGTAAAATGTAAAAGAATACGCTCTGTTTGTTTTTTATTTTCTCCTTCGGAAACACGTTTCTGATAATGGTACGTGCTCGCCGCATCGCTTTATCGATATTTTTTTTCGATAGTCATGCGTAATCGAGCCGTGCGCGATAAACTGCAAATTACTCCTTTGACCGGTGCGAGAAAAAACACAGATGCGAGAATCGCGTACACGTGCTGCCGCGTTGTTCCTGTCAGAGTTGTTTTATGGAAGCGGTAGTATGCTCGACAGAGGCCGCCGTTTTTGTAGGGTAAACGTGGGAAGTGGTAAGCGACGTCAAAAATATTTCCTGGAGCGTTTCGCGAAGTTTTACTACTGTGTCGCGTCATTGTTACACCGATTCGAAAGCTTGCGCTTTATATCTTGATTTATCGCGTATCGACCTCGCGTGCGCCAATTTTCTTTTATTTTTTGTTTTTTATTTTTTTGATAGATCCTCTTTGCTTGTATATATTTATTCAGTGTACTTCTTCAATTTTTTTCTATTTCAGCACTGCATCAAGGTGGAATATGATGTCAGTTACTTTTTTTTTTTATCCGAGCACACGTAAAAAGCTCTTTCCTGCGCTTGCAGCGAACAAAGTGGAATTAAAAAATTGTTTGCTGGTATTCTGTTCTCTCGCTAATTGATTGAATTTGTCAGTGTGTCAATATTTGGTTTTCTTTCGTCATCTAACTTTTTTAATTTCGTTGGCTGCAAGATAACGTTTTAGATTCATGTAATAGTGCAACGAATATAAAAAAAAATGAGACGGGAAACGCTTTGCGCAAAACTTGCTATGGCATGTATTATTTCACGTAAATTAATTAAAGCTAATCGACGTCAATCAGATAATTACATAAAACTTGTGAAATTGACAAGTTTTGCGCACGATATAAAATCCACACCAGGGTGGTTGAATGATCTTGGTTATTGAAAAATGTGGAAAAATCAAATCCCTACTCACCTCCGTAGTTCGGCCTTACTCTTTTATCGTAACTGACGGAAAAGGAATCTAGTATCGCAGAAATGTTCACGTCGCCCAGCATACTGCCGCCGCCAGTTCTGCAAACAGAAGAAAATTTAAAATCTCACATTTTCCTTATAAAAAAGTAGTATGTTTTAATATTACAATAATTTTTTATAGTATAAGTTTTAAATTTATAGCATTTATTTATATCTAATCTATGTTTTTTCAATTACATTAATTGGAGTATGATTGGAAAAATTTTATCTGCAAAAAATATTATACACAATTTAGTTAAAATACTATGAAATTAAAAAATCTCTGGATAAATACTTTAACACATATTATAACATTGTATATATACAACTTTATTTTTAAAAAACTTTATCTTAAAAACTTTTTTACGGATAATACACACAAATCTTCTTGTTCCTATGATAATTAGAATATAAATTAATTGCAAATAACTGCATTTTATGAAATCGATAGCGTTTAAATAACTTGCTATTGAATTTCGAGGTGTCGTCACGAATCCTTGAACTGATATAAATACAAGATATATATTAGCATTATTCCAAAAATAAGTTCAAGAGAAGATATTGTAACAGCCTGCATGACATACAGGATCGCGAGAAGTAGATACGCTCGAAGATTCGAGACATAAAGTGCAGGGGGTCTGTTCTTGACTTAACGGGTCAGTAGATACAGATGGCCTCGGTCAGCCAAACAAACGGCCCTTGAGTCCGCGGGCTGATACGGTTCCGCATTACCTACGAGAGCCCGATCTAATGGTCACAACGCGGCGCAGCAGCCGATTCCTGTTACGCTAAGTAGAGCAACTCGGCCCGAGAACGTTTTCTGCTTGGCTCAGCGGGCTGACCAAGATCGCACGTAATCACTTTGGCGCAGCGTTGATTCCCGGATCACGCGAAGCCCCGTATGCTGACGACCTTGGTCGGATCACGCAATATCTTTGCGATATCTGCAGATCGAGTCGCACGAATAGCTGCGACTTTTAATCGGAACAAGAAAGATAGAAGAAATTAAATGTGTTCGTGCAATCTTTTATTTTACTCTTGCATCGCAATGTGCTTTTATTTTACGTTTACACGAACAATTATTCTTTATTCTCAAGTTTCAATGACAATGTTATTGCTTTTTGATGTAAGCAAAATTTAATTTTTACAAAACAGTAACACCGAGATACACCGTTTATGTTAATCTGATTAAGCACGTATATATCAATGATTTTTAATCATATAACTATATATGGCTAAGAGATTAATTGAAATTTCTGTGGCTTCTATTACCTAGATATAAGACATTGGTTAAACTGTGATAGGCAAATGGGGTAAAAAGAAATCGTATTGATAAATTTATTTATGATTCACGATTTGTTGCTTTGACAAAAATGAGATTGATTTTTATATATAAATACCATCTATCAATAAAAATTGCAAATAGCTTCTGTAAATTAGATCGATAATAATTCGTGCGTTACTCTCAATCATTGAACAAAGTAGACGTAATAAAAGCCTTGACCCTACAATCAGTGTACATATGAGTCAGCAGAATGTTCGGTGTACCTATCGTACACCAGCTTGCGCGCATAATCTTACAATGAAAGCAAGCAAAGCCGGCGAGCTTGTAAAGTGTTGCACGAATTAGACTAATCAAGATCGTGCATGTTTTCCGCGTTCTATTCTACTGACCAAGATTCCAAGCGTGAGTTATGCGATCTACAATGTGTCCCCGCGATTAAGTTCACGGGATTTTGTAATCAATTATAAATCAAGAAAATAACTGCTACCTAAGTACCCAATCTACTTTGTGGTTCAAAGTAGCAAGCTCTTTAGTCGAGAAAACTCAAATAATCATTTCGTATTCATTCGCTTATGCGAAACAAAATCATTGTAATTACAAGGATTATGGTAAAGCTATAAAAAAACAGATACTAAAATAAATATTCAATAAATCGGTAATTCATACACATTTTAATTTTGATAAATAGTTAGTAAATTAAATGATTAAATAAAGAAGAAATTATATTAGATGTAAGAGAAGGAAGAAAACAATGTTATAATTACGATCAATAAATCATATTATAAATTACTTTTTTATAATATGCCGTCAATTTTACGTCACGATTTATTTTATAACAAATTATAATATTTGTAAAGTGTGCTTTAGAATTAAGTATCAGCAAGTGACCAAAGAATCGATTGATCGTCTATAGTATATTTGAAAAGATTTTATTTCGTTACGACCATCATAATTCAAATCTCACGAAACGATATTTAACAATGAAGAAGATCTCGCTACCAAGCTGTGATAATAGGTCAGAGGTTAGGCGTATTGATTAGAGGCAGGTATCTAGTCTGGGAACAAGGGTGCGAATAATACGATGTAGATGGTATCGTGCAGATACGCGCGCGAAAATATAGATAGGCTATTTCTCCGAAACTCATCACGAAGAGTCGACTTCATTTCCGTAAGATTGTTGCTTAGAACGCTTCTTGCTAAGCAAAAGCATGAAATATTCTTATAAAATAACTACAATTATAATTATAAACAGATAAATTAGTAAATTTTCCTGTTTAATAAAAGCGAGTATACGCCGTATATATATGAATATATATTTATAAATATATCGCATCCATTGCATGTATTCGCATAATTAATTTTGTTAAACGTCATATCAAGTATTTAATTCAAATTATTATTTTTGGCCTTCTTATCTGTGATATTCTCCCTCACTTTTATCCAGATACAAGCGTAAAGGCTTTTGCTGTCTATATGCTTTTTTTAATCAACTTTGAATCCAACAATCTAGATCTTTTTGTTTGCTTATGAAAAGAGGAAGGAAAAGAATAGGATATTCTCCGTTAAAGAGAGATGACATTTTCGATCATTTGAAATATTTGAAAAATGTCCTTCGAGATTAGCGTTTACGAGATTTTGTGGGTGTTTGTATTCCAGACGAAAGGACGCGCGTCTCTTTCACTTCTTCAGGAAGGCCGTTGGAGAAATGTCACGCCATAGTTAAGCGTTTCATGCTTCATTGCCCCAAAAGCGTCGCTATTCGCCAGACAATATTTTCAGAAGCTCATCCGTTCCTTAGATCTCGCGGAAAGTCTCTCTTCTCTGCTTCGTAGAAATCCATTTTTCTCGCTACTCTGTGTCTCGAATTATGATTGCCTCAAGCTTTATCGCTTTCACGTATAAAGCAATATAATGCGGAATTAATGATAATTACGTCGGATAAATCTGTTTAACCGAAATTAGGTCAATTGATAATTCTGTATCAAGCTTTAATCAGAAATTTTGATTAACGGGGATTTATTATAAGTATATATAATCGCGCATGCTCTCATAATTCTCTAATATAATCAGAAATGTATCCTGTCATATTTAATGGACACATCTTTATGACCATGATGTCTATCAACCCATTACCGTAATTAATAATGTCACATTAATTTCGCTCGATGTTGTCTCGATATCTAGTAGCGCGAAATAGATTGACCGCATAGAGGAATGATTGCGGTGTAATTGTGTGTATGGACGAATTGATTTAATAAAAAATATTACCGCAGCACAGTCACGTGGCTCGAAGTACCGAAGAAAAATGGAAGACATTACGATGCTTGGGCTGAGCCGGTGTAATTGAAAGTCTCGTAAATAAGAAGGACCGTCCGAGCGGACGAAGACGCCTCGAATTTCAATCTCTCGGATTTCTAAGAGCTCTTGACCCCCGACTTCAACATTTCTTCTGCACATTGCCGGCTTATCCTTCTCCTTCTCCTGTTCTCCCCCCGTTCTCTGTCCCTTCCCTTCACCCCGTCCCCTAGTCCTATGTTTCTTTTAGTCTTTCCGGCTCGTTGCAATTTTCCTGCCTTTAAGGAATGATGAAAAACCATCTCACAAATTTTCTCTAGGAACTTACGTTTATTTCTAGCTTGATAGCTTCAATGTGCACACGGGCAACGACTCACTTTTTCTCTTTTTTTCTTGCCTTCTTTCAGATTCAAAGAGCAACGATGCAAGCGTACTCAAGCATTCCTTTGCTTATTCATTATGTGAATTTGGTTCTGCTCTGATTTCCGATTTTGTTTTAATGATTATCCGAAAATTATAATTGGTTGGATATATCGTTTGTATTATGTATACGCATGGAAATTTGGTTTTACATGGCTTTAACGTACATATCACTGTCTAATTATAATCAATTATAAATTACACTTTTTAACACGTAATTTTAATGATATTATCGTGAAGTATTTGGGTAAAGGTGTTATAAACAAGTCTAATTTTTGTAATGTTTTCAAAATTTGTAGGTAAGTATATTTTGTCATAAAGATAAATATCAATGAATGTACACGAGAAGCATCTCATTTTTTCCGGATATTTTAGAAAGGTAAACATTTTGTGACGAGGGTGCTTCCGCTGACCTCGTTTCCTGGCATTTAAATTAGCAGCGTTTCGCGCAATTTATTTTCAGGCTAATGTCAAACAACTGCCAGCAACTTTGCCGACATTGTCGACTATGTCGAGTGGTTGGCATCTTTGAAAGGCGGAAGTCTCGAGGCTTTTGTAAGAGTCTCTTCTTGTAATTAAGAAGTTATCGACTACGAGATGTAGTATCGGTCCCATCTCTTCTGCCTCGATCTCGATCGTCGTGATTTTTCGCATCTTTTCCTTTTTCCTCGCGTTGTTCCCAATCTCGAAGCCAATCCTTTTTTGCCAAACATATAGCGTTTGCGCGAGGATTGGTTATGAATTATTCATGGTGAAGAGCGAACAGCGAGCGAGCGAGCGAACTGTGGACGAAAAAGGGGTTTTATATACCGGTCGTCCGGACGTTATATATAATCAACGAGAGCTGGTTGCACGAGCGGTTTTTCAATGTGATTTACGTTAATTTCGGCGCCGATCTACCGTTGCGGAAGAGTCAGGAAGTCATAAGTATAGGAGCGCGTCCTTCCGGTCAGTGCCGCGTGTTTCCTTTTTATCGATATCACAGCTGGGGACTTCTGTTCTCATATTTCTCTATCTATATATAAAGCTCTCTCTCTCTTCATATCTTTCTCTCTCTTGT